ATGTTAAAATAAATGTAGCACAGCCTGAATCATATCCTTCTGAATCATGGGCATATGACTTCAAGAGGCTCTAATCCAGCTGGTGTGAGTTGTAAGTCTAGTTCAAACTAAAGCTTGGAAGCAAGAAGTGGGAGGTAGGAACAAAGGTGGGCTGCAGACAGGCGGCTCTGGGCCACCCTGGGAAGCAGAGGATCGGGGCCGCAGCTACTGAACATCACAGCCCCAATCCTCCCTTTAGCCACCCCAAAAAGAGTGGCAAAATGCTCACGGCTCTTTTTCACCCTTTCCGGCACAGCGCGTCATGACGCTGTTCTGGGAGGATGTCCTGATGCCGTGTGCCGTGTGTAACAGTGTGCGGCGTCAGGACATCGTCAGGCTGGGGCTGGGGCCCACAGTTACATTATTTGTACAATGAGTAACACTTTCTGGTTTGTAAGAGATTCTACAACATTTTAAAGTCTTTTCTGACTTAAAGAGATATTCTGACAGGCACTTGTCTAGTTTTATAGCCTTTTGAAATTAATTCTAACTCCCCTCCCCCAAAAAAGTAGCAAAAATAATCAAAATAAATAAATAAAAAGAGCAACACAATGAGACATACTTTAAAAGGTAATGGCAACGGAATTCTTTTAAAATACTGTCATGAGTTTTTGTTCATTGTTATGTACCTTCAAGTTGTTTCTAACTTAATTGACCCTAAGGCAAACTTTTTAAGAGGTTTTCTTGGCAAGATTTGTTCAGAAGGGATTTTTTCTTTACCTTCCACTGAGGCTGAGAGAATGTGTCTTGCCTAAGGTCACCAGTGGCTGTTGAGTAACAGAAATTAATTACTTGTTTAAAGTAATTTTGCAAACTATGGTTTACATAAATGAAAACAGTTAATCACAAACACCTGCAGTTCTATTTTGGAAATGAGAGGAATTAGTCCCGATATCATTTATTGATATTTATATACCAATTGAAACAATAAACTCTCTAAACTATTTACAGTATTAGCTAGATTGGTCCAGGAGACTCTTGACTAGGGGCCTCTGATGTCAGGAAGTCCTTCCAGTGCAGCCTTTTGATGCACTGAGCCAGGATGGGTGCTAAAGAGCCACGTGCCAGCTCTTAGGGTGCCCATTTTGCTGGCCCTGAAAGCACTGGCATTTTGCTGCTCCTTTCAGAGGTGGCAAAAGGGAAGATCAGGGCTGAGGCATCCGACAGCCTTGGCCTCGATCCTCCACTTCCCAGGGCAGCCCAGGGCCGCCTGCTTGCATCCCCCCTAGGTTGATAATTTGCTCTGATGAGTAGCATCTGAACAGGTTTCTTCCCCAAGAGGTTTTTCTTTGTTTTATTGAATACTAAAAGCTCAGTGTCCAAAAGAAAATCAACACATGTTTTATTGATTACAGAAAAACATTCAACAGCATAGAACAAGAAAAGTGATGGTTTGCTCTTATAGAAATGGTTGTGCCACTTCACCTAACTGTCTTGATGCATATAGCCTGTACTCAGGATGAGAAGCTGCAGTCAGAACTGAATATGGAGGAACAGAGTAGTCCCCAATTTGCAAAGGGCTCAGGCAAGGCTGCATACTATCATCCTATTTATTCAACCTGAATGCAGAAAATATCATGCAGAGCAGATGTAGACAGAGGCAGGAGGAGTGAGAATCGGAGGAAAAAATATTAACAGCCTAAGATACACAGACAACACCATACTACTAGCAGAAAACAACAAAGATCTGGAACAGTTACTAAAGAAAGACAAAGAAAATGCTAAGGTAGGCTTAATGCTGACTGTTAAGAAAACAAAAATAATGGCCATGGAAGAACTACAAGAATTCATCTTAGGTAACAATAAAATACAAATAGTCAAAATTCCCATACATTGGATGAAACATTGATCAGAAAAGACACTGCAGTCAAGAAATTAGAAGACTAGGACTGGGAAGGGCAGCTATGAAAGAACTAGACAAAATCCTGAGCCTGCAGAACCTAAGCCAGGAGGTAGCAGATAGGAGTCTTGGAGATGTCTCATCCACAAGATCACCATGAGTCGAAGCTGATTTGAGGGCAGCTAACAACAACATATACATTGTAGCAATAATGAAATTTGACATCACTTTAACCACCATGGCTCCATCCTACAGAATCCTAGGACTGGTAGTTTTTTGAGGCACCAGTATTATTAGGCAAAGGCTAAAGACTTGGTAAAACTTCAGATCCCAGGATTTCATAAGATAGAGTTACAGCACTTAAAGTTGTGTCAAACTGCATTATTTCTACAGTGCAGATGCACCATGCACATTAGTTCATACTTACAACCAACACTTCACAAATGTCACTATTACCTGTTAAGATGGGCATATGGGCCTCTTATATATATAAATCATATTTTGTGTCATGTGTTGGGCAAGATGGGAGTAGCTTATGTGAATTTCTCTGGTCTCTGCACAAGGAGGAATGTAAGTCAGCCAACACCAACCACCTCTAGGTGATGGAGGTTACTGTAAACTGACACAGAACAAAGTACACATGTTTACATCTTGAAACCAATGAAATGATAGTTTATCTTCTGTAAATACTTTTAGTTATCTGACAAGCAAAGGTCAAAGGTTCCAAGTGTTTCCGCTGGAAATTACTGAGTGCTCTTTCTGATGACTGATAATTGAAAGCAGAGGCTGGAAATATCAAACGTGGTAGGTGACAGATAAGTCACAGATAAATGCAAAGACTCTGGTTCTTACACACTCAAAGGGCAGAGGCCCCAGGAATTAGCTATTGTGTTACTGGGAACAGATGGAGACATCAAACAGTTATTATCATGCTCATATCCTTTCTCCATACTCCACCTCAAGCCAGCCAAACACCAGAAATCCACTCTCATGCTACCTCTTTGGTTCTTCTTCATCAATGATTCACGAGAGAGAAGGAACTTCAAAAAAATACTTAGAAACAGCAGTAGGATCAAATTGAAAGTCATATGTATATATTTCCTCTTTAAAACTCTGCTGTAGCTGCTCGGCTATTATGCGCTGTGCTAGGAAGATTAAACACTGAATTACTAAGCTCAAAAAGGAGCAAGAGGCCACCCAACATAACCCCTGTCCAAGGCAGAATTTTTTACATATTAGTCCCTTTGGGATAAACCACATAATCTGAGCCATAAACTCCAGGCTGTGTGGATGCCACAATCCCATAACAACATTTCCTCCAGCTGCAAGAGGTTGCAGCATTGGGTCAGCCAGAGTCCAGAAGGGTCAGTTTCCTGAGAGGGATTCTGCTTACATGCCCCATCGTCTGCCAGGGAGACCATTTGGCTGAAACCTGAATCAGTTAAATGTGTGTGCATATGCTTTCACAATAATCCTGGTTTCAGAAATCCAGCTCCAAATTACTTAGTTGGTGCCAAAACACCACAGCAAGGATAAATTGTAAAGGTGTGATTTCCTTCTGGCCATCCACTTCTAAAGAGAAACAGTATTGGAATGGGTGAGCCTGTTGTTGTTTTTTACCTCTCACATCTTTTTTGTTGTTGCTCCAAATCAAGATTAGAAGCACAATAGCTATTCTGGGGTCGATAATCTTTGGCACTGGTGACTTGTGGCTTCCAAGCAAGGGGGATGGTAGATCTGCTCTGAAGTTTAGTCAGAACTTTAAAGGAATTAGTCAAGATGCTGAATCTATTTTGAGGCTAGGGTTCAGCATTTTTGATAAATTCTTCAAACACCAGACCTGGGGGGAGCGGAGAAACCAGGGAAACCACCACCCAGATGTCCTAAGTACAAAGGAGGACAAGGCAATGCAAAAAATGTAGGATATTCAAGAAAAAATATAGGATATTTAAGAAAAAATGTAGGATTTCACCAAATAAAACCAAGAACATTCCATGAATGTAAATTCATGCTCCAAATGGAAGACATTTTGGGATTCTTCCTGGAGTATGTAAGACATGCAGGACATTAAATGTAGGACATGTTCTAGAAAAGGAGAATGTCTGTTCACCCTGATCACCACCCCACTGATATGGATGTCACCACCCATGACAGACCTTTAGACTATAGGAGCCATACAAGATGCTGGAGATGTATCTCACATAAATATTGGATCAAGTGGTTTTTAAAATCAATGTAACAGGAAGGTGTCATTATTGTTTGCCCCAAAGTTTTTGGAATGGGGAAGGATAAAGCACTGATTCCCAAACTTTAGTGCTCCAGGTGTTTTGAACTTCAGATCCCAGAAGTCCCAACCAACTTGGCCAATATTCAGGAATTCTGGAATCTGAAGCCCAAAACATCAAAGATTGAGAACCACTGATATAAAGGAACAATTCTATTATTTTTGTCACTAAAGCTGACAAGATGCAGCGCTGGGCCAGGTAGAAGGTAGCCAGGAGTGTAATTTTATGCAAACTTTTACCATAACTAGAGCTTTCAGACTACAGTCCTTGGAATCCCTCACCGGTATGGGCCATGCTGGCTAGGAAATTCTGGGTGTTTTAGTTTAAAAAAATACTTTTCAAATGCAAAGCATTATTAAGATCCTGCTGACAACTGATATATCCTCGCCCACCCCATTCCTGGTAACATGGGGCAGAGAGAGGGTGTAATGAATGATGCTACTCAAAGATGAATCCTGGTACCTCAGTGAACCAAATTCATCTGTCCCAGTAACACTTTTCAGAAGCACAATTTTGTCAGTGGCTGTAGCTGGGCCAGCAATGTTGATGGCACTGTTTTGGCAGGATTAGCAAATGGTGGCAGAAGAGGTCTTGGAGGCTGCATGCAAACTGTGTGTTGCCCACTCTATACTGCATTGGCCTGTTCCACTTTTCCACACTTCCTACAAGCAGCAGTCAGTGAATTTGAGTAGCCGTGATGAAATGATGAATGCAGTGACACTGTAGGCATGCTAAGGAGATTGAAACACCAACACACAAGGGAGCTAGCCCTGGTGTCTCTGGGGTTGTTTTAGGTGGAAAGCAACAATTCTTCTATGAATAGAGGTTCTCTGTGAGCCACTATGGTGTAGTGGTTTGAATGTTGGATTATGACTCTGGAGACCAGGGTTCGATTCCCTGGTTGGCAGTGAAACCCAGAGGGTGACTTTGGGCAAGTCACATGCTCACAGCCTCAGGCAAAGGCAATAGCAAATCTCCTCTGAACAAATCTTGCCATGAAAAACCCATGATAGAGTTGCCATAAGTTGGAAATGACTTGAAGGCACACAACAACAACAATGTAAGTTAGGAAACTTAGGATCATGTAAAGTCCCAGTACTGGTTCCTGCTTCACAACAAGACCCTCCCTGATTCATAACAATTATTTTTCACTCAAAAGAGGGGTACCCTTCTTTCCATATTGTTTTTACACCATTTGCATGCATGAATAGGTTTCATGTTGTTCCATTAAAAAAAAATCCAAACATTTCTACTGAGATAGGTAGCTAGGCCCTAATTCCAGAACTTCTTCCAAGTCAACATGTATAGAATTGGGATGAATTTGTATTTTAAAGTGAGTCTTAGAGAATACAGTGAGGTTATAACAGGCTGTAAGTCAAATAAACCATTGCAGGCCACTGGTTGTTCAAGAAATCTAAAAGCTTACATAATCTTTTTAAAAGGGGATATTAAAAGCTTTAGCTATTCACTTTCCAAAATTATTACACTGGAAAGAAAGAGATTTTTTTTTTGAACACCAATCTATTTTAGAAATTGGACCACTAAAGCTTTTTTCCTTTTTAGATAAGATTTTACATTTGTATAAAAACCTAAGACTCAAGTCACTTCAAGTCACTTAATGGTCTTTTCTAACACATTTTAGATAAATGGCGACTGAACAAAATCACCCATTGAACTTGCAGTCTCCTCCACTTCAATGCAGGTTTTCTCAGCTATTAAAAACCAGGGGCCCTTTCAAACTTTACAGTTATAGTTCTATGATTTCACTTTAACTGCCATATTTCCATCCAGTTTAGGAAGTGGTATTTAAAATTCTGAGCCAGAGAACGTCTCTACTACCGTGTCAGATTGCAAACTCCAGGATTGCACAGGATGCAGCCATGGCAGTTAAAAGTGGAATCATAATGCTGTAATTGTGCAATGTGAAAAGACCCAAGGTAAAAACTGATGGGAGCTCAACAGAAGTGGTCCTGCCATTAGACAGAGTGAAGCAGCCACCTCAGGCAGCTATATGTGATGGCTGCCAAATTATGTGGCTTCCCCCATCAAAAGAGCCCCTACCAGCTATACAACTTTGGGGGAGCAAAATGGGGGTGTTGCCCCTCTAAATTAGAATTGCATCCTTCTCCAATGAAATTTGCCTTCAGTTCTTAAATTGCTAGCATTGCAGAGAGAAAGAGAGACTGAAAAATCATTCTCACCTGGAAAGCTCGCACTTGCTAACTAGAATATTTATATTTGCTGTGTTCTCATTCTCTTGGTAACTTTGACTGTCCCTTCTCTTTGGGTGCCTAAACTGTATTTCTAAATGCTTAGCTAAGGGTTTAAGTGACTGCAATGCTAGAAATGTCAGGACTACGGGGGAATTTCAGTGGGAAACAGTATTTTTATTTGGAGGGGGCAATGCCCTCTTTTTGCCCACCCCAGTGGCATCACTGGGTGGATGTAAGGGATGCGGACCACACCAGGTGACACCCCTTAGAAGGGATGACACCTGGTGGGGTTCTTCTCCCGCTGTGCCACCCTCATGGCTTCGTTGCCAGCCTAGCTCTCTTCCCAGGGAGGGAGCCAAGTTGGTGGCAGGGGCAGTGGAGGGGTGAATGTGCTTCTCCTGGCTTCATTGCAGGATCTCTCCCTGGAGAAGGAGCCAAGGTAGTGGGGAGGGCAGCAAATGAGTGAGGGGCAAAAGGAGGGCAGGGAAGGGAAAGCCACCACTGTCCTCCCTCAGCACCTCCCCTCGTACAGGGTGCCACCAAGCCTGGTGACACCACTACCCTCACTGTTGCTGCTGCTGCTTGGTCTCCCAGTTTTTCAGCCTTTTCCTTGCCTCCTTCTCACTCACTTACATGGCTCCTCCTTGCTTCCAAAAGAAAAAGAGGTAGCAGCAGAGACACAGCATGAAAAGAGAACACCTGTTTTCTCCAAACCACTTCATCTGCCTCCTTTTCATGCCACTTGGCTACAATTTCCCTGCTTCTGGAAGAAACATCAGCAACCCCTACCTCCTTTCTCATTCTCTTGGACTTTGGTCATTCCTACCAAGGAGGAAAGGTAGCTATCCTTACACACAAAAACAAATGAGATATCATTCCACCAGGTGAGTTCATTCAGACCCATGTGTGCAAAGCTCAGATCCCTCTCCCCCTCACCAAATAGTCAATGGGGCTCTGGAGGATCTATGGTAGCTTCCTGCCTCTGTTTGAAGCCAATATGTCTTTTCTGAAACACAAGTGAGTCTCCCTCCCTTTTCTGCATTTTGGGAAAAAATAAGTATGTTTAGAGTTAGCCAGCCTGTTTGCTATAATACAGGAGACCAGTCATCAGGGAGGGTGGGCACCCCATGGAGCCAGAAGAGATGTGAGGAAGGGCTTGCTCCAAAGATAGGGACCAGAATTGTTGTTGTTTATCCTCTTCCCACTCTCTTCCTTTGTCCTCAGCTTATTTCAATTGCTGTCAACTGATTTTAAAGTACAAACATAGTTTGCAGTCAATTAACAATTAATGAAAGGAAGTGATGGAAACTTGCCATTCCCAATAGGCTCAAGAAAAAGCAAACTCCTGCAGCCTTTTCTAGCTTGTGTATTCTTCCTCACTAATATCTTTTGCCATCTTAAGCATATTCTCATTTTGCTTGGTCACACATGTCCTAGTTTTCCTCTGTGAAATGTTGGACGGGATTGCTTTCACTACCACTGGTGCTCAAACTATGAGCACTTTCTTTCTCAAATTAATCCAGAGACTCTGGCTCTCAACTAAAATTTATCCACAGTCTCCAACCAGCATACGATGAAGTCCTTTTTGTTCTTCCTCAACTCCTCTTACTCTATGACCTGCCTGCAATAAATAATGCTGTCAGTATCTTTCACCTAGTTTTCACAATTAAAAAAACAAACAAGCCATTTATAATCTGCCCCAAAGAAAAACATCATCTTTCGATTAAGGAAACACTATCACCTCATAAAGTAATGTTTTGATGAAAAGTTCATTTGTAAACATGTGTTATTCATTCCATTTATAATTTCCTTATATTTTCCAAATCATATGTAGCTGCTTTGAATATCAAACCAAGTGGGTCATTGCAGCTGCCTCTCTAATTATTAAATTCTGGAGATTGATATTGTGAGTGGGAAAATGATGCTTTGCCTTTTTTTCTACAAGTTTGATCTTTGCCAGTCATACAGATTAGAATTCTTTTTTTAGTGGACAGAAGAATGAATGACTGAATTGACACATTCTGTTGGTCAGGATGTGAAACAGAATCTGGATACCAACAAACAATAAAAATGGGGTTGAGCTGAGCATCAAATTTATTCTATCCAAAGCCCTTTCTATGGGATCAGAGCCTCATAACTGGATGCAGTTCAAATCTGCCTGACACCATAATCACATAAAATATTTAGGCATCCTTGTATCTAAAAGTTTGTCCAAATGTACCACTCTATGGCTCAGTAAAACAAACATTGCTTTGGTCCAAACAACATCTTTTGTGATCAGCAGTATTCCTGCCTTGAAGATGACTGTTTTTACAGAATTATTTTTCTTTTGTTTTCAGACCTGTCCACAAGCCTGTCATTAATGCATTCATCAGTTTGGCAAAAATGTTTTAGTAAAATCACTCGGGAGGAGGAGGGAGTAGAATGGATAAACTAGACTGGCTACTTACTGATGGAGACCTAACTGAGGGCCTTTACAAAGTGCCAGAAATAATGCAGCTTGAGGCCACTTTAACTGTCCTGGCTCAGTGCTAGGGAAACATGGGAATTGTATTTTTTCTGGGACATTGAGCCTTCTCTGTCAGAGCGCTCTGGTGCCACAATAAATTACAGTTCCCATGATTCCTTAGCACTGAGCCAGGACGGTTATAGTGGCCACAAGCTGCATTATTTCTGGCAGTCTGTAAAGGTCCTGAGCATACCAACTCCTGGCCTGAGCATCCCCATCTCCATCCACCTTAAGAGCCAACAACCAAATAAGGTGAAGGAAGTCCATTCTGCTGGCAATCAAGACACAAGGAAAACAATGTTTCCATGCTGTTCCTATCAGCAACAAAGGCTGCAACAAGGACCTGTGGCAGGGGTCTTGCTTCTGACTGTCACAACTTCACTCACTGGTGGAAGAGGGAAGATATCATTCTCCTTGCACCCTGATCAGAAACTGAAGAAACTTCCTTCACCTGATCCAGCAAATGGCTCTTCAGGTGGATGGGGTTTACATACATTTCCAGTAACAGTACCTAGCCTTACTGAATATGGATCAGTAGCTAGGAAATGTGGAAGGCAGCAGAAAGAGAGGGAGACAACCCACCAGATGGCTAGACTAGGCTGGTCATGGGCATGAATCTACAAGACTTAAGCAGAGCAGTGGAGGATAGTGGGGCTTGAAGATGTCTCATCCCACAGGATCACCATGAGATGGAGTCAACTCAAGGGCAGTTAACAACAGCAACTCTAGCTTACAAATCTGTAACTGCAATACTGAATATCAGAATATCAGCCTAGGCTGACATGTTGATGCAACATATGAGGAAATCAACAAAGTGAGGCTGAGCCTGGTGGCCAGAAATACTGTGATGCCTTTGAGCAGCAGCAGTTCCTATCATTAACACAGGGGTGACCCATGGTAAAAAGAGATGGAAGCCATTCCCCTCTCCCACCCCACTCATCATGGGCTGCAGCATCACTCAACCTAAAAACGGCTTTTGCAGTTTTTTCCAGGTTTTTGGAGTAGTGGGGGTGGTGGCTGTATGAGATTAGAGTGTAAAAGTACCAAAACTGCCACATAGTTGTGATGATTTGGGTGGTGCTAGAGCAAGGATGGATAACTGCAGAGGGGCTAATTCCCTCACCATATCCTCTGTGAGGGTCACACTGGCACTCCGGACACAACAAGAAATGGCATCATGTCTCT